ATGATGTATGCTCAAGTATTTGTAAAACTCTCCGTTACGTATACATATATTTATTATCTCACTGTGTTTTATAATGACAAATATTTGTCTCCATGTATAATATATCAGTAATCTCTATATGTGCTAGTACAACTAGCCCATTTATTTTAAAGTCTAGTGGTTTGAACCCTTGAGCAAGACACTTTTCCCTCATCACTCCAACGTTGTTTATGATTAAATGGCAGACACATCACAGTTGGTTTTCTCCTGGGCAACTGTGGCTACAAAAGTTGCACCAACCAGAATACTGTTCATCCAATCAGCTGATACCAAGAATATGATTATGTAGAAGAGAGAATTTGCCAGTTTTAAAAACTCCATTCATTAATATGCACACTTAAGTGACACTGATGTATGTGGGCCTTGATATGAGTTACACCTTATTTTGCTGTGTATTCAGGTGTGTAATTGAATTACTCTGTGATATCTCCCCCTCATGATGCCTTCATTGACCAAAAGTGTGTAGTTTTCCTCTCTGGTCATAGGTGACTTACAGGCGCGCTCTTGAGCTGCAGCCGTTTGTTTTGGGAGCGCTCTGTTTCAGTGACAGAGGAAGAGTCCACTCCACAAAGATTACTCCAGCTCATTCTCTGTCCAAACAGTGCAGTGTGCCTGAGCCCCAGGGACACACAGAATCATTTTGTTTGTTCAACTCTGTCAATGACTGTTTTCAGAATGTACTTTGTGTAATTGGAAAAGCCTTGAAGTGATCTCATCTGAAGATGAAAAGTAAACTAACTCACTCTTTTCTTTCTGTTCTGGTCAGTTGATTAAATAAAATGAATTGTTTTCTGAACAGTTAAAAAAAAATAACTCACACCTTGTGTGGTAGGATTTCTGTGCTTTTATCTAAAATTTTATCTAAAAGTGTATATGTAGAAAGCAAGGAGATCCTAATTCCAAAAATGACTGTATGCTTCTCTGGCTTTAATTTGACCAGTGACAGATTAGTGAAAACAGCAGGTGCTCTGGGTGCTAAATGTGTAAAGATAATTCTGAAGGCGACGTCATCATTTTAGGACTAGTCTAAACATAGCTTTTGGCTGAGTAGCATAACATTTGTGCAGGTGTGTTAATATTAGGCCAGTAAATCTTGTGTGATGAGTGCAGCCGTGATAATCCCTCTGTCTTCTCTTGGCCTCAGCAGTCCTAATGAAGTGATGCAGACTGGACATCCAAATCTTCACAGTGATTTCTTTTCATTAGTCTTTAGTGTTTAGTCTTGATAGTCTTTTACAGGCAACACATGCATGTATTTTTTTTTCTTACATACAATACACTTTGTACTATTGCACAAACTGCACGGTATACTCACCAACTCTGCCTTTGTAAATTTTTCACAGCTGGTGAACCTGTATGTGGATCCAATAATGGCAAATTTAATTCATTTAAATTTGTTTATTTAAATTTTTTTAATATTGTGTTTTTCTTACATCACATCATAGACAAGTTCAAAATCAATTCAAGCTTCATATTGGTCAAAATGATTCCTCAGCATTTGTTTCCTGTGTTATCCAAAAGTCTTACCTGCTCTAGCCCGGTGTGTGAGCCTGTGTGCCCTGCAATGTGTCCGACTGGACCCTGTGTTATAAACACATGGGCTGTTCCCACGTCTCTGTTTACACTGAGAGACCCCAGAGAAGAGCTACGACAGCACTGGATTCCCTCTGCACTGCACACTCACACAACCTCCATCTCTGTCCCATAGGTTGACACTGACACCATTTTTATTTGAGTGATGCAGTTACACGACATTGGAAAAGTTATACATAATATGTTGTTGCTGTTGTTGTTGTTGTTTTCAGGTATTTAACAAACACAAATCATTACTTCACATTTCACAAGCGACTATGTTCAAAACTGCAGAACTGAGAAACCCCGCCTCTGTATAGTGGCATTTCACTGATGAAAGCAACAGATTTTGCATGCAACATGTTTACATTTCAAGTTGAAGGCATATCTTCAACATAAAAGGGAGATATTTTAAGCCTAAAAATAGTACTTTTTAAAAAATACACAGTATGCAGTTTTTAATATGCAATGCAGAATTACACGTGAGTTAAAATAAATACTACGTGAGTCAATATAAATACTACTCTTAAAGTCAATTTAACATTTTGTTGCCTTTAAGACATGATTAATGTTGTGAGATTTTCTTATGAAGACTGTAACCGTAAGCTACACATTATTTTAACAACAGGACAGGACAACAGGAAATACAGCCCAAAATGATAACTTGACCCACTGATTAAATTACACAATTTAAAACATATATATATATATATATATATATATATATATATATATATATATATATATATATATATATATATATATATATATATATATATATATATATATATATATATATATATATATATTTATATGCTTTATTACTGAATCCATCAAAATAGTCTATAATGAGACTTTTACTTTTACTATTATTCAAATAAATAAATAAATAAAAATACTGTATCTACTTTTATATTTAGTATATCCTTTTTAACAAGACTGCCCATCTTTTTGTTCCCACCCTCGTCTAACAATAAAAAGTATTCAGTACTTCAGCAGCCCTTCTCTGTTCCCACAAAGGCATCAAACCCTGAAACATTTACAATGCTCTAGCCGAGTCTGTGAGAAGCTTCAGTGTGGATCTTAAGTCCACTTGATTTAGATGTGTGATGTGCACCCAACATAAACATGCACAGAGCTACGGATAAACATGCAGAGTTTATGAGCAGAGGTGAGGTCAGGCACCAACTCTGCTCTGTGAGTTTTAACTACTATTTTTATTGATTTTATATAGTGCATCATTCATGCTAGAGATACAAGATGGTCATGTGACTTTTCCTCACCAGCTGATTGGTTGACTTATGATTAATGGTTTGTGTAGTGGCACAGTATTTTTCACTTTTATCATGCTAACGTGTTACCAATGCACACAACTGCCATGCAATTCATGTCTTTTATCAAGAAAATGTTTGAGATTCCAGATCACATCTATTTGTAATACAGTGTTGCAAAACACTCATGAGTTACTTCCCTGGTGGTTTTGTAAACTTATAATCACACAATCCCGCTTAGAGACAGAATCTGTACTCAATTGTTAGTCTGTTCTACATTCAAGGACACCACTTTCTTTTCAGGTTTTCAAGCATAGAATCACAACATTAAATCAATGATTGTATTCACTAACAAATTTATAACAGATTTTTTTTGGGTTGTATTCATGCAGATTTGGTTTCTGGTTTGAGCCCTGATTTGGTCCTTTTCTAGGGCTGTTTTAGTTCTCTTGTAGTTTAGTTATGAGTTTATTCTGAGTTTAGTCCAAGTTTTGAAGTGGTTTGTATGCAGGTGTGATCGCTTGCTGTTTTCATCCCCCGAACTTATCTTAAAACTTAATGGTCTTTTGATCCTTTGGCTGCAATGGGTATACAGTATCTGTGCACAGCGATAATCTGCATTAAATAGACTATTCCCTATTGGCTCATGCATAAAAATATCTGGCCTTTTCCCTGATCCACTATTTCTCCTCCGCACTTAGTCTCAGATAGGGCAGCTCCCTGTGATGGACATGTATTTATCCAAAGACATATCTGACTGTATTAAGGCCTAAGTGCTCACATCTGTGTGTTTACATGGCGCGTCTTATGACCTAATGAGAAGAAGAGCATTGTTCCCCTGGGAAGTCCCTGCTCCAACCGAATCGGACTATAAACATACTCCTGCACACCGAGTCGGCCACAACACCACACACACACATACACACACTCCCCCCCACACACGCACATACACACACACTCACACACACATACTCACACACAATAACTTACACTAAAACAAACCTGTGTAGTAAACATCCTAGGACATCCCAACAAGACTCAAGTGCAGAGCAGATGGGAATAGCACTGCCAGGATATATTTCACTATGGGAAGCCCGGGAGGATTCAACAGGAATATGGTAACCACGGGAGGATGAACAATAACAAAGGCTGAATCATAAAGAAGTTATTTTGTGTTTTATTAGAGAATGATTCAGCCCAGAGAAGTGGCCCAATTAGAAGAGCACATCATATCCCGCAGTGCCTAAGTGGTCAACAATTACAAACAACTTGAAAATATTTGTGAAGGTGCACTATACATCTCCATGGAGACAGGCAAGGTCCATCACCTAGTCTCTAGATAAAATGTTATGTTTGGCCTATATTGTGCTCTTAAACTAAAATCTGTGTTTTTCTCAAGCCTAAATCCCATAAACATATGTCACTTTTATAAACTAAATGGTGCATTGTGTAAATCCTGGTGCAATGTGTAAATCCTGGCTGACACTTTGGAACAGCATCCATTGACTAACTTCATTCATGAGTCACACAGCGGCTGTGTATTATCTCATTGATAGTGCAAACATTCACAGACTCCTGAACTGCAGGCTCAAGTGTTTGTCTATTGTATTTTTTTTTTCCTCAGAAGTGTCCACTGACCAGATGTGCTCCCCTTTATTACTGACAATAAGAATCCACATGGGATCTGTCAGTGCAAGCACATGAAAGATTTGAGTGCAGCATAAAAAGACAATTATCCTAACCAATACATACTATCAACAATGACTCCATTCTTGCTTTGCTGCTTTTTATGTGTGTAATGTGGTTATCAGAGGTAGACTTGAATATACTCCTAAAACTGTACTGTTGTATTACGCCACAAGATGGCAGTGTTGTTTTAAACGTTGTAATCTGATCTAATTCAAATGGAAATACAGTAAAATATGGCTTAATGCCCTTAGTGAATATATTATACATATGCTATGTATTATATGTAGGTGTACAGCATTTTCGATAAATGGTTTTGATTTGTTGAGGAGGGAAAGAAACTTAATACGTAAACGGAAGTGCGTGTTTTTTTATTTTGGAGGCTAACCGGAAACACTGCGTCCTCCACAGAAAAAGGGGTTTGTACACAATTCTTCTTTTTAGATGAATCATAAATGCAGTACAGCGGGATTAAGTGGACAGCAAAAAAATCTGATATGGCGAATTGATCTTTAGCTATGGTCTGCTCAAGTGTGGAGTCGGAAGAAACGTTTAGCTTGCTATGCTAATCACTTTTCATTCATTATTGTGTAGCTACTTCTTTGTTAATGGCTAACGGGTACAAGACAATATTTACAAATACTGTAACAACAGCCACAGGCAACATGTATTTTGTGTCTTGTGCTGCATTCACTTACAGCACTGGGGTTGGTATTATAAACTTTAAACAGAAACAGAAGCCGGAGAGGGTTTGTAATGCTAGCACAGCTCTTGGCTAACAGATCTTCTGAGAAGCTGCTGCTTAGCTCTGCATCTGCAACTACAAAGTGGAGCACCACACAGATCATTCACCTGACCTAACATAAAGATATTAATGCGTTTTTATTTTTCTACAGCCTACCCTACTGCAATTACTGACTGCAGTCAGTCAACTTAAGCGCACTGTCTCCAGCATATTGTATTGTTTGCATTGCCACTGCCAGGTGGTGAGCCATCAAGAGACATCCCTTTAGGATGTCTGTGCCCCATGTTCTGTGCTATGCTTTAATGGCACATTATGGTGTTATAAGCTGTTGGCTTAATGCCTTAAACCTATAGGAAAATTTGTGTCATATTTACTGTTATTATTATATGATTGAATCAATAACAATTCTGTCTGTGTCTTTATCTGTGAGAAATTAACTATAAATTAACACATACGTTTGACTTTCAGCACTACTCTGAGTTCAGTGATGTTGAAGGGAGCCATGATGAGACTGTGAGACGTCACCTTCTGTTCCTATTCTGTGCTGCACACTTCCTGATGGATTCCAACAATGATGTGGCGCTGGATATTATTGTCAGCAATGTGGTGGCTACGTTTAGAACCAGGTGTCATCTAAATTTGCGCACCATTGCTTTAGAAGGAAATAATGTCATCTATAAGCCTGAAGTTGGGGTAGGTGATCCCATAATTGGGAAATAAGTAATTTATGATGGCATATATGTTTAAACTGGAAGTTTGTTTCAGAAAGTACTTATGAAGCTTCGTAAGCCCAAGATAACAGCCTCGATATGGTCATCTGGGAAAATCATCTGCACTGGCGCTACAAGGTTTGTGACCATTCTTCTTTCTCCAGGCCATGTAGTAAGTTAAAACTTACGTTTACTTTTGGATTTGTCATTTCCCTAGTGAGGTGGAAGCCAAGTTGGGTGCTCGAAGGTTAGCCCGTTGTTTACAGAAACTTGGTTTTAAGGTAGTGTATTGTGATATTATAATGTAGATGAACTATTCGTATCCATATTAAATGTACCTCTGTGTCTGTGGTCAATTCAGGTGAGATTTTCAGCCTTCAAGGTTGTCAATGTTTTGGCAGTTTGCTCGATGCCCTTTGCCGTGCATCTCATAGACTTTACCAAGAACAACAGGCCTATTGCAAGGTATTGGTTCTTATGTTGCAGCTTTTACTGTGCACTGATTTTTCATCATCAGCAGAAACTCAGTTTGTACTTTTCCATAATAACCTAAATGTTAATCATCAATGCATTACATCATACCACTGCTTGGATTGAGTGCCCTCTTGTGGACACACTTGTTCAATATTTAACCAACATCTTAGCTACCTCTTTCTGTATATTTCTGCAGATTTGCCATGCTAAAATGGACCCCCTCAAAAAAAGACATGATGTGTCTTAAGGGGCAATCCAGGGTACAAACTAAGAAACAATGAGAACATGTATATGCTCTAATGGGAAAAATGGATTTAATCGATATGGGGGACGGGAAATGAAACTGAGTGCAGAGGGCACAAGAGTGTGTTATTATCCTAGTGTGTATTATCCTATGAAAGGTAGAAAACAAATGAATTAAACAACTAACAACTTATTTATTATTTATTTCAAGTGGAGAAATAGCGCATAGCATATTTAATTTTCCTTTATTAAGGTTAAGGAGTATATAATATTCCAAGTATAATACCAAAAAATATATTGTGATGTAGTGATGTTGTAAGTCTGTATCGCCCATTCCAACCCTCTGGTTGGTTTATTATGTGACTTTGTTTTCACAAGTTAACGAGTCACTTTTTTCTCTGCAGTTATGAACCAGAGTTGCATCCTGCTGCCACTTATAGGATCAAACATCTGAAGGCCACAATACAAGTGTTCTCCACAGGCAGCATCACAGTCACAGGTACCCAGTTCTCCTTTTACAGTACTACTTAGCAATGAAGGCATTGCAACTGCCAAAAGAGAAGAGTATTAATCACTGCAACTTGAGCTTTTGACCAGCGACCAGACAGTTTAGTTCAAATTTATTCAGTCATTTTCCACCAAAAAAAAAAAAATCAAAGCATCAACTAGTAAAAATGATTGGAAATCATACAATACAATTATCAGAACCAAGTTGTAGTGCACAATGTCCTTTCAAGATAATAATATTGTGTCTACCTACATAACAAAAGTCCTGTTGTCTATCTAATCCCTTACACACTGCACAATAGTCGAGGTGATCAAGGCCACGTCATTCATTTTGTTGTGATATAATTGCAACAAGAAAATCCCTCTGTACTAACCTAATTCTTTGAAGAATGTCTTAACAGTGAAAGTTTTGGTCTCTTTTTATGAAATTATAGAAATATCTAGTGTGAAACAGCAACATTTAGGCTCTTTGCCCCAAAATTCAAACAGAATTGTACTAATTGGTCCGACAGAATTTCTTTTGATTTATTTCAACGTAATATTGTGGCCATCGTCAAGAGCATATTGTACTATTCCTCCTAAAATTTCTGATTTGTGGCTTGAAATATTACTGTGGCTTAGTTATGGTTTAGTTATTTCACTGTATAAAAATCATTGTGTTGCTTTCATTGGTTTGTCTTGTTGTATAATTAGTAATCATGTGTTTTCTTTACCCACTCTCTTCCATTAACACGCAGGACCAAATGTGCAGAATGTGGCTACAGCTGTGGAACAAGTCTACCCTCTCCTGTTTGAGTGTCAGAAACCTCTTTGTAAATAGTTTGACTGGGAGAGACACTGAAGACCTGTGGGGCCTAAGGAACAAAGACAATGCACCTTATTCCAGGAGACCCCCACTACATGCCGCCACACTTCACACACTTTTAACCTTTTAACTCCCCCCAAAAGCAAAACAAGCAAATGTCTTCCAAATCTTGTCAACAAACCACTCTGCAGAATTTTAACCAAATGTGTAGATTCTGCACTCTTTTCATTGAGCATCACGATTTTATTCTTGCATAAAAAGTAAAAACAATCTCATCTAGCTGTTTTGAAAAGAGATATACCAACTAAACAAATTTTTCTGTAGTGTGGTCAGTTATTAACTCTTCTTGGAAGCAGTCCGTCCATTATTCTGTAAGAAATGACTACCGTCACCTTTTAATTATGAATCCTGTTTGTGTCATACCACAAGTTCCTAAGGACACAGTTTATTTTTAACTTTAAGATTATGTATACTAGTTACTAGATATTTTTCAGGTAACGTTTAGCGTGAAAAAAAAAAAAAAACTCTCAACGTCTCTTAATTACACAAGAAATGCATTTATTTAAATAACAGATAGACACTGCAAAAATTATTTGTCAAACTGCATAACACTAGATGTGTTAGATTTGATAATACACACAGCAATGGCCATGTCTTAGCTTTTTGACAAACTTAAACATTGAATGCCATTACCTTTGTAAATACAGTATAAAATGTGAGTGTAAATGGTAAAGGAGTTTGACTAAATGTTGTACATTGTTTAAATAATGTTTAATGGAGTGCTGTTTGAACTATTATCAACTGCAGATTTCAGTATTTTGTATTTTATATAAAACTCAAATAAAATCTGTTACCATGTATATGAAATATTTGTCTTTTCATACTTGAAATACTGAAAATGCATTAAAATAGCACTGCTATGGAAATGGCATATGCCATGGAATGCTACAAGGAAATGATCATATGAAAATGAACCAAATTAGTTATTTAATACAATGTATGTAGAAAACTGTCCATGTGTTCATGTTCATTCTGCAGCCGAGGTGGTTTCCCTTTTAATAAGTGAGCAGTGGCTATGTTTACATGCACACAAGCATCTGATTATCAGTTTTCTAGTGTCATATTATTAAAATGACATGTAAACAGCAAAATCTCATTAGATTAAGATGAGGGGCCATGATTCGAAGGAAATCCAATTACTCACATCTGACGTTGCTGTTTAGGTGTCATTTTAATGAGCTACAACTACAGACTTGTGCCTGTAACCATTGTCAGTCTCCAAGAAACACTTAAATGACTAAAAGCCAAAACAGAGGACAACAGCTTCAGCACAAGTCAAAGTGGACCCTGAACATTTACTTCACATTATCATGAAGCTCGTCACTGTGATCTCAACTCAAACATCCCTGAGCAGCACCGCTCATCAGACCTTCCTGAGCCTGTCTCTTTGTGCACCATGACATCTCAAAGTGGTTTCTGAAATGTTAAGAAAATTAAGAATAAGTATTGAAGCAACAGACTTTACAAAATTGGGCATAGTTTGTTTACTTACTTTTTAGCCAGATCCTTCGAGATTTCCTCTAGAGTGCGCCCTTTGGTCTCTGGGATGCAGAGAATGACAAACACCAACAAAACAAAGCACATGCCCGCATATAGGAACAGCATACTGGGAAGCCCCACCCTTTCTGTAGAACATACCATTTTACAAAACATTTTTTCCTTAAGAAGAAAGACATGAAGATATGAATTTGCTTGCATGTTCTTGTTTACCTGTTACAGTCAGAAAGGTCATGGAGATGAGCAGGTTGGTTGCCCAGTTCACTGCCCCCACCACAGATGCAGCCCTGCCCCGGACTCCCATTGGAAAGATCTCGCTAACCACCACATACGCCACTGGAATGAAAACATGCCCTTACACATTTAGGAACTATTATCATATTATTCAACACTATTAACTGTCATTTTTTTCTATATTTTTGGTATTGGAATTGGTTTTCTAGGTCATCTAGTAATACTGTTAAATGTAGGACAAGAAAAAAAAGGTCCTGCTCACAGGTTAATCAGGTAAATCCTGTTATGCATTCAAATGAGGTTAACGTGATGCAGAGTCAAATGATAAATGAAAAACCGATGGTGCTATGACTGCGATTCTTACTTGGTCCAAGGCTGAAGGAGAAACCTGTCACATAGACCAGTAATGTGATGAGTGAGGCCCATTTGAGAGGGGACGACAGGCTGGGAGTCCGTTCATCCAGTGCACTGTTGTGTGTGAGAGTCCTCTGAACGTCCTCTGTGTCCCATGGGCTTGGAGAGGTTTCCATATAAAAGGTTTGATTGTCTGTTTGTGTGGCGGTCCAGTTTAGGTCCCATGCTTGGAGTGTATTGTTGTCCAGTGTGTGGCTCTTACACAGGCTGGTGAGGTGGGTTCGGCTCTGCAGTGTTAATGTCCCCAGAGTGGCCAGAGACAGCCCCATGACCACAGCACCCACACACAGGAAGCTCTTGGGCCCCACGCGGTCCACCAGTAGCACGGCTGGGATGGTCCCCAACACTTTGACCACTCCAAAGCCTGTGGAGGCCAGAGTGGCAGCGTCGTCACTGGTGAAGCCCATGCTGCGCAGTAGTGGAGAGGCATAGGAAAGGATGTTAGGCTGTCCCGTGGCCTGCTGCAGGAATACTAAAGCTACACCTGTTAGCAACCGTGCTCTTAGATTAGCTTTGGAGCTAAATAACTCCCTGAAATTATGCTCAGACTCTTGCTTCAGTCCAGCCTGGATATCCTGCAGTTCCAGCTCCATGTCCTCATACATTCCTCCTCTCATCTTCTGCAGCACAAGCCTGGCCTTCTCCACATTGCCCTGCGCAACCAAGAAGCGAGGGCTGGGTGGAAGAAACAGGAATGCCCCAAACTGCAGCAGTGCTGGGGGAATGACAAGTCCAAAAGTAAAAGTCCAGCCATGAGGCACAGCAGCAAAGGCATAACTACAGCTGAAGCCTAGCATCACCCCCAGCACCAACATGAACTCATACATAGTGATCAGCAGGCCACGCCTCTCTCTGGGAGAGATCTCTGCTATGTACAGACACGCTGCAGTCCCAGACAGACACGTGCCCATGCCCACTATCACTCGACCCAGGGCCAGAGACACCAGAGACGTGATAGAGATGAGAACAAAAGTGCCCACCACCACCAGGGCGGCACTCAGGAGCAGAGAGCAGCGGCGACCGTATCGATCCAAGATGGGGCCTCCAGCCAGACAGATGAAGAGGGCTCCAAACACGTGTGCACTGACCAGCACCTCCTGCTCCTGACAGGACAGAGAGAGGATGCCACGTAGCTGCAGCAGCACCCCTGAGGTCAGGCCCATCTCATAGCCCAGCATCAGCCCACTCAGGTTAGCCATCATGGCTGCCACCGCCACACGCCAGGTGCAGCCTGTGGGAACAGACAAGAAAAATTCACTTTACTCTCTGTATTTACTTAGTATTATAGCACACAATTCTGAATATATGTGGAATGAGTGCTGAAATTGTGCTATAGGCAACTATGCACATCTTCACATGACAAACTATTGAGCCAAAGCCTGTTGACACTCAATTAGCCAGTAGTGACTGTGTTTGTGTCAAGATTTTGTCATGTAATTGTACAATAAATTTTCTTATTAAACTTGAACTTTGTTAGTCTATGTTTAACCGTAAGTTACCTTTTGTGCCAATATTTAGTTTATTTTTGTTTAATTTACCTTTTTTACATTTCTGTTAATTAAACTACATCTTTATTTTCATTTTACATCTTGGTTTTTTGTTACTTCCCCTATCCCCAGCAGAAATGGGTCATAACAATGTAGCAACCACTGATAATAATAGCTAATATTTTTGCACTTTTAAGGAATAGTGGGAGCATTAGCTCCCTTGTCTTTCCATAACTCTCCACCATAAAATATTTCAAAATGAAACCATGAAACGTTATTTATATAATTATTTCTAGAGCATGGTAATAAACAGCTTAAACATTTTGGTTTCAACATAAATTTGGTTTGGAGCCAGTTGAGGTCTGCTTATCTTAAACTTTCTGCAAAATAAAGTGACAATAACACTGTTGTTTGTTTCATTCAATCATTCAATTCAATCAGTGTTGAATAATCACTTATGCAGAGATGCCAACTACACACTGAGCTAATTGTTCATTATCAAAGATGACACAAGTCCTTCATACTCATGCATGGTTTGTGGATAGGTGCAAAGTCCAACACTTTTTTCCATCAATATCATTGACTTAAGGTCAAGTCAGGCAAGATTACAGAACACCAAAATGCAGAGACAGGTTTAGTCTTTAACACAGAAGATCACTGAGTAAACTATAACCTGCTTCTGCTTGTTGTCAGGTGAATTCAGGAGTTTGACCTGAAAGGAGGAGAGCATTGTTCCCAGGCAAAGATTTATGGTAAATAAGAAAACACTTCCATAGGTAATACATGTACATAAATGATCAATACTTTAGGCCTCAGAGACAAACAAATGTCAGTAAAATGTGTGCTCTTCAACACCTGTGGATGGGTAGTGCATCTGGCCGCTGTCTTTAAGTGTTTCTCTGCAGGAGTTATCAGCTGTCATCTTCTTCTTGGCATTCACTTCCATCGTCAGCAACTCCTGATAAAAGCAATAAATATGTCAAATACTATCACTGAATGAGTTTATCAACAGAACTCCTGTGGTAAGGACATGAGTGAAAAAAGTTATAAGATGACATGATTATGTAAGTACCTAAATAAAGAACCATTGATCTAATGTTTAATTATAGCATACAGTGTAAGAGATGGGCGTGATTGGCCATAATGCCCAATATTATATGAAGCAATAATGTTACCATGGTCACTTTTTTTTTTTTTTTGACAGGTAACTTAGCCTCAGTGTAAATCAGCTGAACCATAAAACTCAAAGAAGGAGCATTTTCTTACCTTTGAATGGGATATCACTGTTCCAGGCAGGTTCACAATAAATAGGCCTTTTGAGTTAACTTTATTTTACTAGCACAATGCACCACAACCTCTGCTTATTGCACGTGAATAACTGAGGAGCATTATCCCAATGTGAACCCCACTACTTCCTTCAACAACAGGCATTACCTTACACTGACTATGTTAGGCAATGCTCACTGACTATGTGTTAACAATATGAATGTGTGCCGTGACCTTTGCCGGAGCTCGTACACGTCTGGAAGATAAACACCGGCTTTTAAAAGTAACCATAGGTCTACAGGTAAGAGTACCGGGCTCGGCCACTATTGGCTTGTGTCACGCTTTTCTGTTTGCAGTAACTTGTGAGTAAACGGCTTTAACACACGCGTGTGTAGAGCCCTACCTGCACTCTGCGGCCGCTGCAGTCCCTGTCGCTGTCAGGCGCTGTTCTTTAATCCTCCATAGGTCTGATCTTCACTTTGGATTGTAACTTCTCCCTTCTCTCCAAACTCTTGATTTGCTCGTGTCAGTGCACGCGCACTCCTTGTTTTGGTGAAGCGTTTGTAAGGCCCCGCCCATTTCCCTTCTGCCCACCAATAGAAACGGTGTTTTTTTGGCCAAATAGTCACTATTGGTCCACATAAAATATTAGTAGGCCTGGTTCATTTAGTGAGGGCTTGTGTTTGAGTAGCCTGTGGTTTAGTAGGGTTTAAATAGATTCCATATTTCATGATTGCCATGGGCCCAGTTGAATGCTTATGTAGGCTATTAGGGTTTTTTGTTGTTGTTGTTGTTGTTATATTGTTCGGTTGATAGTTGGGTTTATGAATTGGAGAGCTTCCACTTTTGATTTCAGATGCGGTCTAGTTCAGGTGCTACATTCAGAGTGTGTTGTAACTTTAATGTCTGGCTTTTACACAGGCTCACGAGGTGTGCAGGCCTATGGCTCCGCAGTGCTCAGGTCCCAGGAGTGATCATTAGACAATCCCACGACCACCACTGTGTCTGTGTATGTCAGGATATGTGTCTGTAAGCACCCACATGGTCCAGCAGGATCATTATTATTATTTTGTTGACTCGACACAATTCATGATGTATATGGAAATCTGGTAAATTTTTACATTCATTCATTCATTCATTGACATGATCTCCCAAAACAAATAATATATTTGGTCTAATAACACAGTAAACAAACATAAACATAAATAAATATCTGAATTAGTAAAATATTTTGATAATTGATTTCTTTTTACTATTACAGGTGTTACTTTCATTTTACTGTGAGCGTCTCAGGTCAGTTGCACAGTTATTTTTGGGTGTCGCTGTCTGATATGTTTACCCTGATGATGCACTGGCCTGTACATTCCTCAGTACACTGAAAGACTGGAGACAAATAAATGAGGTGTGTCTTGCCCATAGATACAACAGTGGGATTGGGAGGCAAAAGCTTGGCCTTATCTAATTTTTCTTACATTTGGGCAGTTTTTAACCATTCTAAGAGATTTTGACTCAGTTCCTGAATGGCGAATTTTCCTCCCTTAGAGGCAATACAAGTTTGATTATTTTGATGAAATCCAGTCATTGTCTGTGATTTTTACACAGACAATTTTTTACATTTTTGATACATTTAATTCCAATCTCTCTTCATCTGTTCCCATTGTCTACACATGCAGCTGTATCAATAATGCTCCCTCCAGGCCCATGTAAAAACAAATTAAGGGGCCACCTGTTGTTTAGCTCAGTCGCTCCGTCCCCGAGTCCATCCCAGTCTCGGTCCCAGGGTCTGTCCCAGGCTCTGTCCCAGAGTCCATCCCAGGGTCTGTCCCAGGCTCTGTCCCAGAGTCCATCCCAGGGTCTGTCCCAGGCTCTTTCCCAGAGTCCATCCCAGGGTCTGTCCCAGGCTCTGTCCCAGAGTCCATCCCAGGGTCTGTCCCAAAGTCTGTCCCAGGCTCTGTCCCAGAGTCTGTCCCAAAGTCTGTCCCAGGATCTGTCCCAGAGTCCAGTCTGTCCAAGGCTCTGTTCCAGGCTCTGTCCCAGGCTCTGTTCCAGAATCTTTTCCCAGACTTCGTCCCAGGGTCTGTCCCTGGGTCTGTCCCACCTTAGTGTTTTCTAGTTCTGCATGTCCTACTTTAGTTTGAAAGTGGCTTACTGACTCCAGTCTTTGACCTCCATTTAACTAGAGTCATTGGAGTTTACCTAAGGCGTGTGAAAGGCATTGTTACATAATGTGGCCTAATAATGTTTTTCTTTTTTTTTTACTTTTTATTCTTTACATATCCTCCATTTTAAGTCTCTATTGTTACTACTAATTTATCTAATATGTTTTTTGCAGATTATATCCAAAAAGAATTCTGTCGGTCATTACACCTTTTAATTTTTAACCCTGACTACTTGTGAAATTGTTGCATGTCATAAATATAGGAATAGCTGACTGGTTGATGCTCCTGCAAGAAAGTTGTGGGTTTGATTTCCAACACATGTCACAAGTAAGTCATGATTATGGTTAAAGTGCGATATATGTGCCCTATATAAAAGTCCTCTCTCTCACGCCCCCTGAAAACAGTTAATTGTCTAGAGTTGATAGTTTGCTAGAATATTTCTTAACAACCACATTAAAATATTTCATTAAAAAAAATTGACAGCAAAATAGTTTTTATTTGTGGGTCAAGTGTTGAACAATGGCAGATTTTGAGGGCATTCAGTCAGATATGTGATGAAGTGAACTTAGTGGGTTAATACCACACTTGCTGTTCTAACAAATCTAACACAATTGAGGACTCTGGCACTATAGTAATAAATGTGAAACTTTGAACATTCATCAAAGGGGTGCCAGCTGGTTACAACACAGAACACAAACATTGTTGTGCAGTTGATAAATATGCAATAAATGACAAAGCAATTTTACAGTAAATGAAACCCTTCCAATGCTGAAAGTCTTGATTCTTCAGTTAGGATGTAGTTGGCTGGAGCCCTCAAAAGATAAACAGCCTCTTCTCAGTGAGACCTTTGAGGACAGTGTATGGACCAATACAGCCAGGGAATTGTACGTGCCATGATGTAATGCAGTTTGGAGCATTAAGTGTGATCCCAGCTTTGAACTTTGAACACATGTGGTCATTGTGTCCTTGAGCAAGATACTTCCACCATTTTGTCTTTTTTGAACATGTGTGTTTGTGAGTAAGCGGTTGGTGCTGGTTGAGGTTGATGGCTCAGATTAGCAGCTTTGCTCCTGCCAGTATTTATCCCGGGAGAGATTGAGACTGAAGTAATATTTTATCATCAACATTATTGCAGTTCCCGGTATTCAGGTTTATATACACCTTTTGAAGTTTTTTTTCATTCAAAAAATATTAGGTTTTAGGCTTTATCGCTTTGGAATTGGCAACACTCCAAATTTTTCATTATTTTGAAACCCAAAACATCAGTATATTTATTGTAATAACACATTTCATATTATTAATCCTCCTCTTCCTCTTCACCCTCCTCCTCTACCCCCTCCTCCTCCTCTACCTCCTCCCACTCCTCCTCCTCCTTGTCCTCCTCCCCCTCCTTTTCTTCTTACCCTTCCTCCTCTACCTCCTCCTCTTCCCCCTCCTCCTCCCCCTCCTCCTTGTCCTCCTCCCCCTCCTTTTCTTCTTACCCTTCCTCCTGTACCTCCTCCTCCTCCTCCCCCCCCCCCCCCCCCTCCTCCTTCCCCTCCTTCCCCTCCTTTTCTTCCTACTCTTCCTCTTCTACCTTCTTATCTCCTCCTTCCCCCCCTCCTGCTCTTCTTCACTCTCTGAGAGCTTGTCACATCACCTGAACGCCTCATCGCTGTAAACCCTGTGGGTGTTTGATGTGTTTGAGATAAGACCTGTCTGGAAGCTCTTCTGTCTGCTGTTCACATCTCTGACTGTGGAGATATGGAGAGGCTCTTTGATGATGGAATTGAACAGCTCTTCATCATCAGGGAACTTGTCATCTGATTCTTCATCTTATAGACTCATAGACTGTATATATACGGTCTATGAGCATTATTTCTAAAGAAAAAACAACACGGCTACAGTGGCATAGAATTAAACTTTGTTAGGCTATACAGATAATAGACATAGATACTAGATAATGATATGCATATGGTTTCATTCCTAAAGCCATGTCTTAAAAAATAACTGAAGCCTCTCATAGGGTTTATTCATGCTGTTAGTGGTGTGCGACCTCTTAGCTCATAGTGACCTCTAGTGAATAGACACTTTAAATATTATTATAACAGAATTTTAATTGTTGTGATAATCGGTTTGACCACTAGATGGCAGCACACTATCACACACGGTTTCAACGAGCCCCTTTGCCTTAAGTGCCCTCTTGGTCAACATTTTTAGTTTTAATATTTGCCCCATGAAAACAACCGATATGTAAATAATCAACGTTAATAAAAAAATACAATACAATGAACAATTCAATGTTTTGAATCTTAGAAATGAACTACTACAATGGGTCTATATCCCATTGTTCTGTATGAGACTGAAAAAAAAATAGAATAGAAAAATGGAATTCATTCACTTAAAACACTGTAGAATACAAGGAAATTACATTTATGTTATCAAAAAAAAAAAACTCCTGGAGGTGGATCCCCAGCTCCCCCTCACATGGTCCTTCTGTCTTCCTTATTTTTGTAACATTATCACTGGTTCCTTAACTCTGCAAAACAGCAGGCACAGGGGCTTTGCATGTCCATGCAATGGTCAGTAGCTTACAATACACTTCTTTGACAACCTTAAGGACCTTTGTCAGAATAACTATAGCTCTTTCTCTGATACAAAAGAACTTTGCAAACTTTATCACTATGTATTTCTTTAGATTTTTTTCTGAAATGGCCTAAAAGTCATGCATTTGCTGATTATGTTATTATGTACCTACTATTGCACATTCTTTATAGTTATTTATTAATATCCTTTGACCTAAGTGTCTTTTCATTGCAGCCAATAGAGCAGTACTTTCTACTGTACAAACTGACTCAAACGTCACAGTGTGGTTGTGTAAGTCTCCTGACGCATGAAGAAGTGTAAAGTCCACTTGGCTGTACAGTCGGGTCAAGGTTAGCACTGGTCAGTGTTTGCCATGAGTCTTCATTCTTTAGATTCTTTTGACCACATAGTCCATAAATAGGTATTTAACGAAGTAATTAAGACTATCATATCATATATTATCATTTCTGCTACCCAGACTTGAACACTGCAATTTGAAGACTTAAATTAGAAGTCTATAATGTTTTGTCCTTTGTAATTATTACAATTATAATAAATAATTATTAGCTACTTATCAGTATTTATTTTCTAATCTCTATAATCCCATAGGAAATAAATCCAAAGCATTCTACAGTATAATAAAGTTAAACTTTTATTGCAAACCAAACATGGTCACATAAATCTTTAACAATTTTACAATTTACAGTACATTTAACATGTTACATATACACATTTAAGCATACCTTCTTTTGTTCAAGATACTGTACATTAAAACTAGTACACATAAATTCAAAATATACAAATAAACTTAAATAGCATCACAGCCATATTTAAAATGGAATGTTCAGTTGGGATGTGGTCAGCGTGGTTTGTCTGTGAGGCAGGTGGAAGACTATATGAGGGGGACAGTTGGCAAGCAGAAAGATACAAGCTCTTCTTTCTCAACAGGGCCATATCCCTCTTCCTCTCTCTCCCAGGAATAGTTATGTGCAAACCAATATACAACATCATTTGAGTTTATATTAAAACAACTGGTCTTCTAAGTGCTACATGTGTAAAGTTTGCCACAGAAAATCTCAAATGATGCAATGGAGAGAAGAAATGAAGGCACCTTTGTAAGACGTCATCCCCCTCAGTAACATTCAGTTTCATATTGAATCCCTTTTCATACCGCACAGAAAACATAAGGAAAAATGAAAGCACCAAAATAACTGACATTATACTCAGATAGCCCCCTTGACAATATGGAGAGTCTCACAAGACACAGGGCTACATACAGTAGGTTGAAATCCATTTGCAGGAATAATTATGTATAGTAGTGTGCTTGTCCTAGCAGAATCTGTAGCCTTGATATTGATAGACGGGGGCTGTTGAGCTGCCTGAGCAATAAATGTGCAAAGGATCTCCACTATTGAATGGAAACAACTCAACACTGACAACTGACCTATATTTCTGTATGTTAAGTTGTGCGCTGCTAAATCAGAGTAAACTCCTCTTGCAGAAATATTTCCAGAGACGGTTGTTATGGCACATTCAAAGACCAGTTGCAGTGGTCGGAAAAATCCATTATCCAGTGGTGAGTGTGGGTTCAAGTGAGTCTCAAGTCCCATTAGTTTTCATGTGTTGGTCCTATAGGTAAGAGTCCATAGAAGGAGCATAGGAAAAGCCCACGAATGCTTCTGAAGCCTCCTTGATGCTGGCTGTTACCAAAGTGCTGTCGGGAGAGCAGCCTATGGAGCTGGGCACAGGCTCATCTGTGAACTCTGGGTCAAAGTGCCGAAGGTCATTAGGTCCCGTCTGAGGGTCAGAGAGAGACATGTATTGGTTAGTCATGCTGTGTAAAATACTATACATGCAGAAACAATCTTATGCTCAGGTTAAAGGTTTTATTATTCTAAAAGTGTACCAGTGAAACTAGTCTGGAACATTCTGCAACAGTTTGATCAATTGCCCAATCAATTAAACAATATTTACGAAGCACTATGCATACAAAATCTGACAAAATGTATTTCAATGAAAACATTCTAACTGCAGTTAACCTGTTAACCACTAGTCGGCAGACCAACCCATTAACTATGTATATCTATGTTTGCCACTCACTGTTCAGGTTCAGATGCAGTAGTGCAATTTATCAATGTCAGAATGAACCTGTTACAGTCTAAATTAGATGTTATGTTTGAAAAAAAAAAAAAAAAGAACGTACCACATTTGGGTTGAAAGGAGGGGTTATCTTCTTGGCGTTGAGATCGTCCCAGTTGATAGGGGAGAAGAAAATGTGGTTCTTGATTTCAAGCTGCAGAGACAACACAAAATAGTGTAAATCCAATGGCATTTTCAAAATAACTACTACAAAAGAATGTTAAAAATAAACAAAATTAGAAATGCAAATTAAACTTACAAAGTCGTCCTTGCAGCCCAGCCTCTTGGTGCGGTCTTTTTGTAGCAGACCCTCCAGCAGGTGTCTGGCTGCGTTGGAAATGTTTGGTTTGAGTTGAAGAGGCTTATTCAGGATGTTGTCGTACATCTCTGCTGTGTTACGACTGTAGAAGGGGGGCTGAAAGTAAAAGATACACATGAATAACAATACTGGAAAAAGTCATTCCAAATATACCTTAAAATGAGCATGATATTTACCAGGCCATAGAGCATCTCATATAAAACAGCTCCTAAGCACCACCAGTCCACTGTTCGGTCGTATGGTTGCTTATGTAGGACCTCGGGAGCTAAATACTGGGGAAAAAAAGAAAAGTAGTGTACCTTTAGTGACAAAAATATCTACTTTTAGCCATTGTGTTAGTCGACATTGTAATTTTAGTCCTAGTTTCATCATGATTACTTTTTATTTCATTTTAGTCTGCAAAAATATCACACTGATAAAAACTATAACAAAATATAGTAGTCAACAAAATGCACACTGTATGTGACATTTTGTTTCACTTTTAAAAATGAGCCTTTACCTCTGGTGTACCGCAGAAGGTGGAGGTGGTCCCATTGGGCTCGATGTTCTCCTTGCACAGCCCAAAGTCTGTGAGGATAATGTGTCCTTGGGAGTCCAGCAGGATATTCTCTGGCTTCAGGTCTCTGTAGACGATGTTGAGTGAGTGGAGGTACCCCAGAGCACTGGCAATCTCTGCAGCATAGAACCTGGCCCGGGGCTCCAGAAAGCAGCGTTCCCTCTGGAGGTGGTAGAACAACTGGAAAAAAAAGATGCAGACGAGATGATGAGCTTTGTAATATGGACAGAAATATAACAAAAAGCGGAAGGAAGAATACAGATAAAAAGGTTACAACAAAAAAGAAAGGCTCATATTTAATCAACTATGCTTGTCCAACAATCGCAGGAAATTAACTCGATTAGACACTGAGCAAGTTGGAGCAGTGATGCTAATTTTGGCCCTGAGTCTCCGCTCTGTAGCTCACCCCATGATTTCCTGAGAGCGGTTTCCTTTAGTGAAAGAGCAAAAAGGCAGAGAGCGTTGGCCTTGATTAAGCTTCTCATGACAGGATATCCTCTGTCCGTGTGTCCCTACTTCAGCTAAACTTGAAAATGTATTGTTCTTAGCACACTTTTATGAAAACTCAAATTTGGTAAAATCCAGTCAGATCATTTTTCCTTTAAAGATTTGGCTTATGTTTTTAAATACAACTTTCAAAATGTATTATACAACAAAAGACTGTCTGTTAGTTACTCAATATTTCTCTCCCAATTCTTCTACTCTGCCCATCTCTCTCCATCTCTCTATTTTCAAATAACATACATTTTTACAATATCAAACCCACTCTTGTGTATCTTTTTATGATTTTCTGACAGCAGCCCTCACCTCTCCTCCGTTGATGTAGTCTAAGATGAAGTAGAGCTTGTCGGCCGTCTGAAACGAGTAGTGCAGGCCAACCAGAAAGGGATGCTTCACATTCTTCAACAGCACATTCCTCTCTGACATGATGTGTTTCTCCTGATGAGAGCAAAAGGTCAAAGGTTAAGAACGATGAACAGACAAGGAATGCACCGAGGTGATCTCTTTTGTTTGCATTTCCACTCACCTCCTTTTTCTTGAGAATAGCTTTTTTCTGTAAGACTTTGACTGCGTAGAACTGGTCATCAGTGCGATGGCGTGCAAGCAGAACTTTACCAAAACTGCCTTTGCCAATAACTTTGAGGAAATGGAAGTCACTGGGTTTAGCAGAAGGGTTTGAAGATGGACCAAGGTTGATCTGCTGTGATGGACTGGGCTATGGGGTAGAAACAAAACTAAAATCAGACTCTATTCTTGAAAAAAATTTTCTTTAAAAATGTTTTTGCATATATATATATACTCACAGGAGGGGAAGGGTTGGCATTCATGAGCTCTGCATCTTGGGGAAGATTGAGAATAGATGTAACCTCCGAACTGCAAATTAAAGAAAGAAAACACAAATGTTTACAGTCAAAACAAAGCAACTGTGAGTCATATTCCTCCATCCAGGCGACATAATACTGGCATTTTTTGGGTGACTTTCCAGTGTTTTGTCCTCTAGAGAATGCACAACAATAACATGAGTCAGAAGTACTCACTGCTTGCATGCGTAGGAGTTTGTGGCAAGTCTTTGAATGAAGTCGTTCAGCCCCATTCTCCTCTGTTTCATGAAAGCTGAAAGACATAAAGGTTTTGAAAATTTAGAGCCAGGAAAAGAAAGAAAAAGTATCCGTGTTTGCATATCCACAAGTTATCCATACCGGTGACTAATCCAACAAGCCCCTTGGACTTGGAATAGGTAAACTCAGGATCAGCTGTTTCTGTCTTGATAGTCATTTTGGATTAGTTCTGATCTTGCCACTTGCCTCAGCTAAAATAAAACTCAACTTGTATTTGGCAGACCTATTAAAGTCCAAAAAGGGGGAGGAGCAGTCTAGATGCTTCCTCCTCCCTCCCAGTGGGCGTGACCCTAAAATCAACATCACTGCTGTAATATAATCAGCTATAATGGGGCCAATGAGAAGCGCTTGCACCACCTCCCAAAAAACGTCAAGGCCACTCCTCAAAATGTGGTCTTGTCCAAAACATTGAGAAAAAAAGAAAGAAAAAGCTGGTCACTGAGATTTTGTTAGAACATGTGTTTATTGGCATCCATAGCAACCTACCACTACTTCCCATGCATCATCACATGCCATGATCAAACTGAAGAAATTAAATAGTTAGATCAGAAAAACTAGGGTAGGTATGGCAATCCTATCCAAGTGTGTCACTAGGCTAGACTTTATTATATAAGCAGAGAGCTATAACCGTCTTCAGTTTTAATTTGATATTGCTCTAAATATAATCACTGTGGCCAAAGCAGTATCGCCCTTAGAAGTGGTCAAATCCCAGTTAGTTAAAAGCTTTTTATGCTTTTTTTTTTTCAAAAATATAAGTTCAAAAGCGTCAGGGGTGACGTTGGCTTTCCACGGGTGCGCACGAAAGTGAACAAGGGGGAGAGACTGGAGCGCGAGCAGCAGGCCAGATGCCAAGAAAAAAGCCCTCTGCTAGTGGAAAAGTACAGTGAGTGAGGAGAGTGACTCGCTACAAAACAAAGACAGAATAAAAGATTCAACCAACGACAAGTCCTTGAAATACATTAGGCCTAATGCTTAAAACAAGTCCCATAGCTTAAATGCAAATATGTGGAAAACGCGCACTGGCACACGGGGCACATTAGGCACAGTTATGTAACGCACCTGGTTTGAATTTTACCTCCACCTTGGGGAAAGGTAGCGCGGCCGTGCACGAATCCCAAGTCAATATTAAGAGGCGTAAAATAATAAATTTTAATACTCTTCTCCACTGTTGACAAGAAGTAAAAATTTGCTGCAATGCACAATCCCATATAGTAGGCTGCTTCAGAAAAGCCAAACTGTCGTTAAACGTTGCGTTTGTCACCTTTTATATCTGGATGGCTTCTCATTCTGCAGTTTTCCAATCGACACTCAGCGTAAAGTGTGAAAGAGCCAAGTTACCTGCCACAATTTATAAGACTGTGTTATCAACAGGGTCATTCTGCTAAAAGATAAAAATGCCATAAATCCGGGTCAGTGCGGAACGTGAAATGTGGGGTAAGAAACAGGCGCATCCACAGGTAGAGTGGAGTTAGGTGCGCACGGGCGCGATTTGGCAACTGTGGAAAAATACCCTCGAAGCCAATTTCCCAAGGAGGACGGCGAGCAACAGTAGTTTGTGGTGTTCAAAAAGTTCGAGAAACTCCATAAAAAGTTGTAACTACAAAGAGGACTAATGGTGTTATCATGTGCATCTACTTACAAGTCAAGGCAGTTGTTTTGTCTTTCATGGAAAAGCCGTATTATTCCAATTCACGACCACGAAATAGGACTATCGGCTCCTGTACAGAGGGGTACTAGACTTACACCGCATTCCTCACTGGGATAGTTCCATCAACTGTTCTTTTGCTTTTTTTTTTTTTTCATTTTTGGGGCGGGGACAGGCAGTTTCCTTCCACCCCACACAGTTAACAGGCGGGAGGGGCGGTGCCTCCAAGTGCTCCTCGGAAGTCATTATTTTGGGGAGAAAAAAACAGTCTCTTGAATGGGTGTAAAAACAAGAATGAACTTTAACCCGTTGTTCAGTTCGAGATAGCAATTATATTACTACAATTCAAAAGTTTCCCCTTTCATTTGGTCTGAATTATTAACCACAACAAATGACTGATTGTGCACAGTGTAACTTTCCAGTGAGGATGCCAGCTGCTTGAATGCACTGTTACTACCTACAATGCCATTAAACGTCTCTATTGATTAGGGACATCTCAATGGAGACAATGCCATGTAATTGGATCTGACAAGCACACTCATATAAGAACACTTGTAACTGAATAAATGCAAAATAGACAAGTTTAATGCCAGATCGTGGAACATTCCATTTAAAGCAGTTACATCTGCTTGGAGACAACTGGGTGGAGGACAATAGTTGTACCTTCTTTATGTGCTTGAGTTAAAAAACATATCTTGTGAATTGAAAATAGTCCGTGCAGGTAATGCCATTTCAAAGTGCTGATTCTCTGCAAGCTGCTGCTGGGCCAAATCACACTGTAAGTCAAAATGCTTAAAACGCAGAAACCTTAAAATTACAGTTTGCGTGTTTGTGTGTGACTCTGCACTTTTGAAAACATCTCAACACTGTGCTTTGTGTTTTTGACTTAGCTGAGGTCAAATCTATTATTAATATCTCCTACACTGTTAACTTGGACTCACTGACACTTTGAGAGTCCATGTCATATACTCTGGTTAAGGGCTCTATTTTCAACTCTTAAATAAATCTTTTTGTGTTAAGACAGTCCCTACTTTTCAGTCAGCATTACACCACCATTGCAGCCTGTTAAAATATACCCCTTTTCTCCTTGAGTTGTCAACCTGCCATCTTACAATTGCTGTTTCATCTTCTGACGAAATGACAAAAGAACAATGCTCTGTGTGGAACATGAATAGACATCTCGCTTCTCAAACTAAAAACTTTATCAAAAGCTGTAAAAAGTGCTGACCTCAAAAAGACAAAACAATACTTCGAAGAAAAGATATAGGAATGTGTTATCTCAATGCAGAGCCCAAAACTTCCACTAATATTTTGCCAACAGTTAAAATGTCAGATTCAGCCAGTCATTTTCAGCAGCATATGAAAGGTCCTATAATAAGCAAAACTGACTCTTGTGAGCTTTATGTAATGTTAGAATGCTGTTGCCTCCTCAAAAACATACCTGCAGTTGTATTTTGTTTCATTCACATGTTTGAGTAACCCTTTATTATTAGTCTGTATACATCTCCAAAGCTGAAAATGCTCTTTTCCACCTTGTGATGTCATGAAGTGGTAGATTTCAAGGTGGAATGACAAGATGGAATAGTGTTTTCATATAGAGCTCAGCCTAAATATGTAGGGTTTGTGTGTTAAACATGTGCGAAAGAAACAAAACACAACTCCAGGTATGTTTGTGATGAGGAAACAACATAACATAGATCAGAAAACAGGGTTGACAACAAGTTGCTTTGGAGTTGGTGCTCGTACTAATTTATTATGCATCTTTCTGAGAGTGAGAAGACAGTGTTGCCAAGGGAGATATGCAAGATCTACAACAGAACTAAACACTCTCACATCTTGCATGCAGAGAATGAAGACTTCTGTTAAGGAGTTAGCTCATTTAATGGTAAAGTGCCTGAAGAGCTTCTAGGGTAAATGAGGTAAATGATGAAACAACCAAAGCCTCTTTATAAACTTTTATAAAGGAACAGAGGAGCTCATTCTCCAACAGCTCTGCTCAAACAGTGAGAGATACTGGACAACATTTAGTATTTACCATACTCCATACAACTGTACAACAACTCACCCTTATGTAATAGATAACCTTATGCCCTATCAATCATTATTTCATCTTTCTTCTGTTTTCTACTTACCCACCACTTATATATAGCTGAGATATATTTTGTATTACCACATTTCTATTTGTACTTGTGCATTTATACATTTATATAATTATGCCTCATCTGAAACCAGTCTCTTGCTATTTTGCTGAATATATTATGCTCTTTATTATTATACTTATTGTGATGTGTGAGCTACTGTGTCCAAATAATTTCCCTTGTGATCAATAAAGTTTTTTTTTTTTTATCTAAGTCTATGCCTCATCAACTAACCAATTATTTTTGTTTTTACTAACTCCAGCTAATCCATTGTGGCTGGAATTAGCATCTTTGGTCCTACCACAAATTGGAGCAAAAGTACAGCTCACAAACTCAAATCTCTTATTCGAAGCTACACGATGCAACTCACATGTGCATGAATGGAGTCCTAACAATGAAAAGCCAGGAAATGAGTTTTCGATAAAACCACAGCAATCTCTTTACAAGTTAGTTGTTAGTGGGTGGGTGAAGTTAACTACTGTGACTCTATATGTATCTATATTTGTATTTCTATATTTTTACCTTCGAGATGAAGCCGGTGATCCACTAGCGTGTGCATCTCTGCTCAAATGAGTGCGAGGTGCTGAGAGAGGAGCAGCACAGCGGAAGACAGGCAAACCAATGGGATCAGTCCACCAGTGTTAACAATGAGTGCACTCAGTGATTTTCCTCTCTGGCCCTCTCTCCTCATTGGCATTTACACAGGCTGGTGACTGGAAAGGCCTCCACTGAACTCAAGAAGTGTGTTTGTTTGTATTGTGTGTGTCACCCACTAATGAATTATGTAACGGTCTAGTGGCACAGTCTCCGGTGCCAAGGCCAGCCTATAGTTATATGCTGTTGGGAACACTCATCCTCAAAGGGAGGAAGAGGCCAGGGTCTGTGTTCCAGTGCTGTTGTTACATAGGCCTTTATATAATTCAGTTCAGTTATTATAGTAAAAGTCCTGTATTACACAAAATTTACTCCTGTGAGCATTTAGCCATGTTAGAATGTAGTTACCTCCTCAAAAACACCTGGACTTTTGTTTTGTTTCATTCACAAATGTTTGAGTAATTCTTTATTATTAGTCTGTCTACATCTCCAAAGCTCAAAATGCTCTCTTCCACCTTGTGATGTCATGTAGTAGAAGTTTTCAACTTAGCAGCTCCTTTTACCTTTAGTTCTGTATCATTCCAGTGATTCTAGCGAAGGTGTATGGAGTTTAAAAACACAAAGAAGCACTTCTTGTATTATCAAATGACATCATAAGGTGGAAAAGGATGTTTTCTGTCTGAGAGAAGAACTTTGTCTAAATATGCAGGGTCTGTGTGTTAAACAGGTGTGAATGAAACGAAACACAACTTTGGGCATGTTTTTGATGAGGAAACATTATAGCAATGATCAGAAAACAGCTCTTTAATCAGAATTTGAAAATGTTTGTTGGGCATTTGAATAACTTCTATAAAATAATCTTGTCAAATGAGGTAAGGTATTGGCCTATATAATAGAATTTGTGGAAAACCAGGGCAATTGATTACATTATGATGTTTACATGAATCTTAATTTGACAAATTTAATGACAGAAATTGTAAAAGAAAAAGGCTAATGAAAGCTAAGGTTAACTAAATATGCAGTTTGGCCATTAGGTGAATGGAAAACTCCCACACCTATTCACACAATGTAAACATTTTATTACAGCTGTCTTGAAGGTCATGATTTACAGCCTCATTGGTAAATTTCCAGGTCTGTTTGTTTTAGTTAAATTATTGTGTGAGAGATTGAAGTCTAAGGCCATCCCTTTGTACATTCAGTAGTGTATTTTAGAATAGAAAATATATGATTTGATCAGGCTGTAGCAGATCTGAAGTTTTGTTGCTTCTGGGGCTTGTAAAATGTTGTCAGATGGTTTACGAGTGAAGCTTGGAGACTTTAATTTGTATTTCGTGCCATGACTGGTCTCTGAACCACAGTTTGGACTTTAATATTTTATTTTGCCCATTTACGACCGGAATGAGGGGTTTATTTTATTTGTGGTCATAGCTGATTCAGTTTGTCTGGTAGTGAATGCGAATGAGCACTGGTGAGGAACCAAGTGACACAGTTACATAAAGCTCTTACCCATTCACAGGGACAGCCAGGCTTTTATAGTGTGCCTATACACCAGCCAGTATGTTTGTATATGTGTTTGCATACATGGTGTTCCCTGTTTTAAGGGTCCCAAACAACCAAGGGGCCCTAACTCATTATGTGGGCTCTTGTTAATTATAGGGCAGGGGTATGGTTGACCTCATTTGAAGACATGGTTAAAAACTCCCTTGTTTTGAGCTGGTTCTGCCCTAGTTTCTAAGTTTTGTTTACCAAATTCACCAGGGTACTCTTGGAGGCTACTTAAGTTATTGCGTAATACAGAATGTCCCTTCATACAGACAGAACATTTTGTGCTTTTTGTGCTTGTGTGTGTGAAATATTTTATGCCTTACTAAGTCACCTTTGCCGTGGTAAAACTGAATTTGTATCCAAAAGTACAGCTCCAGACTTGCCTTCACTTGCCCTGGTCATACATAAACAACTGCAGTTAAGTACACCATGTGATTGAAAAGTTCCTTGCTCAGTTGCTGTATACTCAAATGACAACGAGCCATAAGGCAAGTACAAAGAGAGAAAACTACATGTAGTACAATATGTACACTTAATAAATGCTTTCCATTCAATAAAAGAGAACTTAAAGGTCCTATATTATGCTAAACTGACTCTTATGAGCATGGTTTAACCATGTCGAATGTTGTTTCCTCATCAGAAGCATACTTGTTGTTGTTTTATTTTGTTGTTTTGTTTCATTCACACATGTTTGAGTAATCCTATATCACTAGGCTATCTGCATCTCCAAAGATTAAAATGTTCTGTTCCAACTTGTGATGTCATTCCAGGGCTGAGAGTATCAAAGTGATTTTAGAGGTGAAAGGCATTTAAAAACTAGGTGGAGCACTTCCTGTATTGCCACATGACATTACAAGTGGAACAGGGTGTTTTCAGTTTGGGAGAAGAACACAGCTTGGGGGGTCTGTGTGTTAAACAGGTGTGAAAGAAACAAAACGCAACTCCAGGTAGGTTTTTGATGCATAAACATTATAACAGATAATATTAAAACATTATAACAGATAATATAACAGAAAACAAAATAGCTTAACATGAGCCATTTAACAATTAAGAATATGTTTAATTATTCAAGAGGGCTGCAATTTTGGATCGTAGTTAGTGGGAAATATGAAATAAAATGGCAATGAGGAAAGAAAAACACAAAATGGAATGCAGAAATGTGGAAAATCTATAAATCTATCAAGCTTAAATATTAACTAATGTTCTGATTTGTGCCAGTGACTCAAGTTTCATTGTTTGTGTATTGCGTGACTCTCACACTCTCCACCATTTCAATAAAAATGTCCATTAAGTCAACTTATACTGTCTAGTTGGTATAACTCCTGTCCTGTTTGTTGAAAGAGTGTGGGAGGTTCGGATGGAGGACAGGCTGGCACAGGTGATCAGTGCGTCACTAACCCCACAAGAATAAAGGGATATGGTGGCGCTGAAGAAAGGGCTTATCCAGAGTTGCGTCACACAGGACAAAAGAGTAAAGTTTGAGGACACTCAGAAAAACATGGAGCAACGGAGCTTTATCTGAAGCTGTTGACATGGTGGAAATACACAATTGTGCAGTTGGTGGGGTTTAGTGGTTTATAGTTGATACTTGAATCAACATCAAAATAGATTGCGTTATCTAATTATAATAAGTTAGGATCTCTGCACGGTCCATGTATATTTGTAATATAAAATTAAGATGGTAAATGTGTAAAATTGTCTATTACTGATTATTTGTACTGTTTATGTGGTTCTAAGTATGATGGATCCTTTCTACAATATAATAGATTACATAGATAATTAACATATATTTGCATAAGAGTAGTAGTTGTAACAGCAGTGTAGCAATAGTAGTGGTGGTAAGTACTAGTTGTAGTAATAGTCAAAAGTAAGTACAGAGTAGCAGCATGGTCCTTTTACACAGCAAAAACTAAAATATTACCAAGTTAAAATGACTAAAAATGTAATCTTGATTTAACATTTCACATGACAGGTAAAATGATCTACCAATGGAACAAGACTTTTCATACTTATAACTTACTCCACTGGTCGATAATTTTTCTTGTCAAGTCCAATCTCCTTCAATAAAGTAAATAGTTTTTAATTTAAGTAGTTTACACTCATCTAGAATTTTCCAGTGTAAATACAATAAAAATGATGAGCAGTGATTCTTGATAGTAAATATTTTTGAATGCTTGCATAAACTCTGCACTCTGCCAGTTTTTGACTCTCAAAACTGTTAAAATTACAGTTTTAGCTAATTACAACTGCTTGAAATGTTGCACCCGAAAAAGCCAACAATTAGCTGAGTGCACCTGTACACTTGGCAGTGTGAGAAACCTTCAGGAATGCAATGCTTTCTAAACTAAACTATCACACGATGTCCTCGTTTTACATAAGGAATGTAAAGACTGCTGCTAAACTTGCAACATAGACATTGTAGCTTCTTTGGCTGCATTCCCAAACGTGACAGATTGCAGACTTTGAACTCTGCAGTGGCACAAATAAAAACGCAAGACGGTAATATAAGTGCTCTGTTCCAGTCAGCAGCTATAAAACAACAGTGAACTCTCCCCCACTGGCTCCCTCTCTGTACATGTATGAAGCCTGCAGTCATGACAGTATATGGCTAACACAAGGCCAGAGCCATGTTTTGTGCCTGTAAAAGGCTGTTTTGCTGCCTCATGTAAAGTGCAAATAGTAATTTTGGTTTATGAGCAACAACAGTTATTATCCAAGCTTAGGGTGGGATTACAGCCTTGTGATGTAAGGTGAAAAGGGCAGAAAGAAGAACAGAGATAAAAGTATTAAATGAAAGACTGAATGTGGGGAAAAATACACAAATGTTAATAATGAGCAGTCCTACATCGCCAAAACTGCTATTGTTTCACAGTATTCATTCATCAAGAAGAAAATAAGTTGTAAAGGTAACCATAATAATGTATTCCATATAAAAATGGATGGGAAGAAGGAAGTTGAGAAATAGAAAAACAAGGTTACTGGGCGTTGACTTACTGTTGTCGCCGGGGCAACAGTAGTTGTCAGGCTCTGAGTCATTGTGGTAGTACAGGTCCATCGCCTGGGGGAGAAATACACTGTGTTAATAGTGAAAATATTAAATCACCAGTTGCTTGCAAAACCAAACTTTGGATAGTTTCTTTTGAGAATATACCCCACTACAGCCCCTGACCCCAGTGAACCGCTACCCCCTTATACTGGAAATGCCCTAGTGAATGTGAATGCCCTACTTCCTTACTTAGCTCCCTATGATGTGTTTTAATGAGGCCTTGGTTTCCAGGGTGAGGTGGCATTCAATCTGTCCGGGCACATAGATAAAGAGGGAAGAAAAGCCCTGTTTCTAATAAAGACCAGAGGATTTCAGTGCAGCAGTGAGCCTCTAGTGCAGATTGAAAGTGATCTTAATCAGCAGTGGACTCAGCTAAACCTTTGCTCCATTGACATATGTAATTATCCACAAAGAGAGAGCATAAAATAAGCCAGGCGACATCAGTTTGGGTCCTCTCTCTTCAAAAATGTTTGAGTGTGCAGTGGAATCTGACATGAATAACTTGAGCACTGCATCTAACAGCTTGGCCAATAATGAAATGATCTGACAGCAAAAGTATGGATGTAGCTACAAGAAAGTGGCATAGAGCTTAGAACTGAAAATGATTTAATGCGAACTAGTCCGGCTACTTTTACTTTCAGTAGACAATGTGTACTGTAGGTTCCTCCCAGTTGGTCTGGGCTACTCTTTGTCTATGTAACTGTAGCTGAACCTAGTCATGTCAACTAAACAAAAGACCCAAATCTAGGTTGGCTTATTAACAATATCTTTGCAAACCTTTACTGCTATTATGCTAAGTCCATCTTTTATCCAAAAATAAACAAATTCTGACAGCTTTAAAAAGTCTTCCTGTCATATGGATTTCACCAAAGTCCCATGACACCCCAGCGCTATGTCAGATTTGACTGTTTGGTGAAGCTGAGTGTCAGTCTCACTGTCAAAGTCGTGTGTATCTGTGCTACTCAACCCTAGCCTAGTTTGTGTCTCCACTCTGAAAACTTCTTGCACATTTTGAGACTTCCTCTGGGGTGTTTTTTGTTGTGCTGATGCATGTGTGAACTTGTGTGAGTGAGAGTTTAAATGATACTGCATAATCACTTAACAATCTCTTTGAAGTGGCTTGATAAAGTACATAAGCTATGAGAAATATTGGTACCACTTTAAAATAACTACACCTTAATACCATCTTGAACCACCACCATGAACAAAGACAATTTCTTCATTATTAATTATGTTTATTAATAGCTTGTTAAAGGTCCTATATTACACAAAATTGACTCTTGTGAGTTTTAAGCCATGTATAATGTTATGTCATCAAAAACATACATGGAGTTGTGTTCAGTTTGAGAGAAGAACACAGCCAAAATATCCTTTAATTAAGGGATTAAGCAAGTTAGTGGTAAGTATGAGTAGTTACTAAGCCTGAAACATTCTTAATACGCTATTTGTTCATTACGATTGAATTCTTCATGTTTTATTTAGGATATTAAAGTGTAGTTATTACAAAGTGTCATTGAAATATAAACAATAAAGCTCCAGTGGAACTGTATTTGAAGCCAGGTATAAACTAGAACAGGACTGCTCATAAAGGAGGATTAGCCAGGGCTGAGCCAGTATTGAAACATACCTGAATGTGAACTAAACCTGGTCTTTGCTAAGACACAATCAAACTAAACCAGGACTGAAGAAGGATACTGCTAATTCTGTCGACATGGCTGTTTATTCATCCATGGCTGCACCCTGTGCATTGTCCATTCCCTCTGAATTAGCCCGATGTCTGTCTCTTCGTGTCTTTCTCTGACTTCCCTTTTCAACTTTGTTTACAGATTCACTGGAGAGATGGGGCGTCGCCATGGTGATGGGGATTCAGGCTTTTCTTTTCATTAATATTTCATCAAAGGTTTTTTTTTTTTTTTTTACTTACACCAAAAAGACACAAAGTTGGAGCTTTGCAACTGGGAGATATAGCTTTGCCAGAGTCAGAGTCTATAAGTAATGAAAACTTTTAAGGTGCTGTCAGTGACTTAAATTAAAAGGGAACTTACAAACTTTTGGCTTCAATGTAATTACACAACTTTCCACAGAGCACAGGGGAAATGCTGTGTCTCAATGAATAAATCACTTGTTAACTAATGTTTTGGGCAAAGATTGAGTGTAATAATTAATTAAATTTTCTACTTTATGACTCTTCACACATGCTTAACAACTATTGAAACACTAACTACCAACCAATTTGGCTATAATTTAAAGATGTACTATGTAACTTTTCTAGACGTTCGAAGATGTTACTGCATTAAACATGTCCATCTTGCACTTTGCCTTATTACAGGTGTTTACTCAAAAAAGTTGAAAAACATACATTGTTACATACAGTCGAACATTTCCAGGCAAAGCAACATCATCATTGAGACAAGGAGATGGCAAACCCTCCAACAGAAATGTTACATTGTACACCTTTAATAATAGTCACATTTTGTCCACAAACTACATCAGTGTGCTGTCAGTGACGGTATGAACAATACAGAGTTTATAAAATATACTGGCTGAGTTTGAATTGCCTGACCTGTGTGCGTTGCCGTGGCTGCCAGGTGTCTTCCAGGGCATAGCTGATGTAGGGACCACTGCAGATGGAGCACTCCAGCATCACAGGACTGGCCAGGAGGGGCCCAGTGTGGACCCCCCAGGCCTGACAGCCCCCCAAGTGGAGGTCCGGCTCTATCTCCCTCTGCTTATCACTGTGGTGCCGTGACAGCATCTTCCACTTTCTCACCTGGAAACATGCAAATAAATTATGATACAGATTACATTTTAAGACAAATTAATTAATCCTATTGCATCTAAATCAGTGAGATAGTTTGACATGGGCTTGTAAGGGGTTAAATTTTCAAGTGTCGTGAGGACATTTGAGGATTTAGCAGTAATCCCTTGTTATGTAAAAGCTGGACCAAGCCTCAAAGGATTTCAACCAAATCTTCATTTAATGTGAAAGAACTAGGGCTGAACAATTGTGATTAAGATAATGCATGATTGGTTTGAACAATAACAAGATTGTCGTACTTAAATTTGAGTAGTTCATTTGAGTCCATTCAATGTGCACATTTTAAAACACATACAGAAACACTCACATTTGCTTGAATGCTACACTAAATACAGTAATATTATAAAGTTATGACATGAGGTCTAAATTACAGTGAGCAGGTTTTATACACAATAAAACCAAATATAATTAAGAGTATATTAAGTTATCTAGGAATTACATAAATAATTGGAACATTTGAGATTTGATCATTGTTATTCTTAAAGGTGCACTGTGTAACTTTTCTGTTGGAGGGGCTGCCATTTGATTGTTTCCATGAAGATGTTATTTCTTTGCCTGTTCTTTGCTTGTTCTACAGTATGAAACTAAAGTTGTGTATCTCCATGGAGACAGGCAGGAGGTGCTACCAAGCAGAATTACAAGTCATATCTGTGGAGAATTTGACCCCACTTGCAGTAAGAATGCATGGTGTTATATGTATTTTTAAGCTATAAAACACCAGTAATTGAACAAATGCACTTTAGATATGTTTAATGCTATACTGTGGAATATTGCAGGCAAAGCTAGCTCTACCCCCCCAACTCGGAAAATTACATAGTGCACCTTTAAATACCATTTCTCTTAAATTACACACATCTTTCCACTCAAAAAGAGAACCCTGCCACTGCACACCTTAAAAGTGATATCGTCTTAAGAATAGGAAAGTGCATTAAGCGTGAATAATGGAAGAAAAGGTCAGGGGCTGCGTACTTGTTGAGGAAGCTGATTTGGCTGGACGGCTGTGTCGCTGACCCAGAATGGCAGTTATGTAAGTTTAAATGGTGTCCTTGGCCAACACACTCGCTGCACACATTCAGGTCTTATCGGTTCATATCAGGGCTAGATACCCCCATCCCCGCTGTATTGCTGCTGTTTGGCTTAAGGAACATTGTAAGTGATAGATGTAGTTTTAATTCTGCAACTCTGCAAAAAGAAATCTTCCCCCTGGCTATAATTAAACCAAGTGCCGGATAGACAGAATGGACATAAACAAGTGCTGTAGGTCTTAAATAAAAAGGGGTAACAGTCGGTCATTACACTGTCTATTGTTTATAATTATGTGGATGTAAATCTATTGGTACAATGCAAATGTAGGGAGATTAATGTTCTTATTACAGTTGTGAAAGAAGTACTCAATTTTGTTATCTAAGTAAAAGTATACTAGAGGATACTAGAGCAAAAAAATTAAACAAATAAACAAAGTAAAAAAAAAAAATCTGCTTAAGTAAAAGTATCTGTTTAAAAATATACTGTATGTAATGTAAGTAGAAGTATTTCAGTTTTTGATATCTAATAAAGCTTCAAATGTAGTGATTTTGATAGACTGGTGCTGAATTTAATATTTATTTACATAAAATAAATCATTTTTACCTAGCTGTTTTTATTTATATTTGGATATATATGTATTTTGTTTCCTCAAACTACGAATGTGCTAAAAATAAACCCTCAGCCTTTTCAGCTCATCTCAAACTATAATAAAAAATACTTTTACTTTTCAGTCCTATTCAAAAATACTTTTACTTTGTTACATTCCACTTATACTAAATGCATTGCTGTTATTATTTTACTTGCAAAATCTCTACAAAGGAAAATGACTGTTATTTCATATATAATTTTAATAATAATAATAATAATAATAATACATAACACTTGTATAGAGCTTTTCAAGATACTCAAAGAGTACATGAGGAAACAAACAAAAGCAGACAAGAAAAAAAAAAGTTAATGAAAGAGTTTTTTAAAGACTTTGAACAATATGGATGAGACAAGGATGCGCTATCTATCAATTGACTGTAGTTAAAAGACTATATTCCACACACTGAAGAGTAGCACATGTGATAACTGTGTTTATGTACATGTATAGATCGTAAATACAGTAGTTTGCGTAACATCTCAAACATCCATGTATGAAATGAACTCTTACTGTAATGTTTATCTTGCACTTTATCGCAGTTTACTGTTCTGTCCATCTCTGTGGTGGACTTTATTCCTCAGAATTGTCGAACTAATGGACAAACATAAAGCTGATAAACCCCATGTTTTTACACTATAGAATGCAATGTAATGTACTCTAATTAGATGCTCAATACTTCTTCATGCAAGTATTCTGCAACTAAATACATTTTCAAAGTATTCTTCCCATCACTGACATACATGTACTGCAGTTTTAACCTTCTTCTTCAAACTCCCTCTCTGTCCTATATCCTGGTTATGTGGTGACCTCTAAGGAGAGCATGGGTTGGTATTATTTAGGTTACATAACTCTCACTCAGATAGTCTCAGCCTCAGAAGTCAGGATGTAATATTGTCCAGGGACGTTCTTGTGCTCATGGGCTTATGCAGGATGTGCGCAGCTGTCTCCCACAGGGCCATAACTCAGGAAATACATGGCACATGGGGATTTAATTTATCGACTTCCCCTTATGCTAGTCACAGCTAAGCACTTTTGTATTCTTAAGATAATAATTACCTAACCTAAAAAACTGTGACATTGATACGTAGGTTATAAATCTAAATCTGTGTCATCTAAAGTCCACCGTGAGAATAGAGTCCAGGGAAGTACCACATTTATAGTTAATATTATTAGAGTTAATGAGAACTAGCTGCAGTAAAGATTAGTAACAGCAATGCACATGCAGAATGGTCAAGGGTAACTTAGAGGTGCGGTAACTTTTCTGGCTTACACCACCTGCTTGTCTCCATGAGGATGTTATTGCTCGGGATGAAATGTAACACAATATGGTATTAAACATACTCTTGTGTATTCAGTTAAGAATTTTTATTGCTAAAAACACACATATTCTTACGGTGAGCAGGATCTCCTCTCCACCGGATCTGACCTGTAACTTGGTGTCTCCATGGAAATAGTTAAGACGAACACAAGCAAGTGGCATGCCCTTCATCAAAAAGGTTAAGACAAACCTTCAGTTAAACTTTTATTTGTTCCACAGTGGGGAAATTACAAAGTTACAAGTCAAAGTTCAAGAACAGCTGGAGAATTAGAATGTGATCTAAAATAATAACTGGACTTGCCTTTTTGGTCAGAGTAATGTCATGCAAAACAAGCAACTGGAAGTGTTTGGAGCCTCTGTGGTCACACACACTGACAACAGTTCAGTTTTCAGTCTTTTGTGTGCTGAAAACAAACATGAAGCTAATCTTATACAACTTACCGGTCACTGCTCACAGCATTACCGATAATACCAAAAGAAGTAAATGATATGTGTTATACTATGTTTATGTTTTAGGCAGTGATACTATTCTCTGAACTGTGGAAAAAATGAGTATGAACTTGTTCCGTTGATGAAATCCAGGCTTAGTCATTATAACAAGACATAACAAGAAAACAGAACCAAAACAATAGGGGAGCAATACAGTCTTACACAAGCTAATGTATTCTCAGTTGGAAAGAGGACTTGCTTATTAAAATGGAGCCCTGTGTTCTTCTCCTTTCCTTTACCCCTAATTTAAAGTTGCTGGCCTGAAATAAATGAGCTCGGGGTGAATTGGAATCCAAATGGCCATAGCGGTAAAGGTTTAGCTGCACCAGTGTCTCATGGGAGATTAGGCTTCTGAAATAGAGTTCAAAGAGAGGAGCAGGATTTTCATATCGACTTTTGGTCTAGAGCTGGAAAACATGATCCACCAGCAGATTAGGAAGGTGCTGATGAAAACTTAAAGGTGCCTTATGTCACTGTTCTGTTGGACGGTCCGAAACCTTCTTGTCTTCATGGAGATGTTATTTCTTTGCCTGAAATGTTACACAGAATGGCATTAAACGTATATATCTTCATGGAGACAAGTGAGTATGCCACCAGGCCAAATTACAAGGCAGAACTGTGGAGAAGCGAGTATGCTCATAGTAAAAATACAAGAATACATGTTTTTAAAGACATTTTTGAGCAATAAAGACACCCACAATGAAATCAGTGGATAATATATTACAAAAAATCTACTTTCATGAGTGTTAAGCTAAGTTAGAATGTTACCTCCTTAAAAACATACTTGGACTTTGTTTTGTTTTGTTTCATTTACACATGTTTGAGTAATCCTGCATTATTAATCTGTTTCATGTCCAAAGCTCAAAATGTGATGTCATGAAGCGATAGTTTTCAATTTAACAGCTACCTTTTACCTTTGCTACCTTTAGTGAAGATGCATGGGGTTTCAGACACACCAACCTCACTACATGACATCACAAGGTGGAACAGTGTTTTCTGTTTGAGAGAAGAAGTCTGCAGGGTTTGTGCGTTAAACAGGTGTGAATGAAACAAAACACAACTCCAGGTCTGTTTGTGATGAGGAAACAACATTAGACCATAGTTCAGAAAATAGTATAATATGCCCTTTAATATTTTAACAAAATCCAACTACAGTTTAGTCTTGTAACAAAATTGAAAGCTTACATTTCTAGACCAAGAAGAAAAATAACAAAGTAACAAAGTTTAGGTATTTTATTTAATTTGCTGACATGAAAAAGTGTTTGAATCCAGCACAAAACTGACAATATAACTAATCATTTCATCCTTGCCTTGTTGTTTACAGCTGAGCTAAAAGCCTTAAAATTCCTTTATATTTTAATTTCTTCCACAGTTATGCTAATACATGCTAATAGTTTCTGGCTGCCCATCTTCTCACTGTGTACGACTGAATGCGCTAATGCTATGAGTCAGGACATTGTGTGATGCGGGATG